GAGGGAGGGCAGCCTTCTTATTCTCCTGTCACACTACAGTACTTCAGCTTGGTCTCAGAGAAGGTGCAGTGAGGTCGCACTTGCTCTTGCCTTGTCTGATGCATTTGGGCTAGACATGGGAGGTACCTCTACAACATGCACCCGCCCGTTGGGATCCATGGATGGCCCCTACTAAGCTCGCACTTGTTGTACGTAGAGGTAGGTAGTGTAGGGTGCCCATTTGCCGTTCACGGTCTGGTTCGAATTCTCGGGATTCTGCCAAGGGATTGTTGGATTGGTGATGGAATCTGGATGGTTGCAATCCCTCTTCTGATAGTGTACAGACTCGGCAGGTGGGAGACTGTCGTGCCTCGGGGGGTACGTACTATGCAGTACACAGTAGCTTGGCGGCGGCCGGAATGCAAGACGACGGAGACTGGGCCCGGTATGCCACACTGCTCTGGGCAGGTGGCCGAGGGACCATTTGCTTGGCACCTCACTTGCCGTTGCTTGGCCGCCGTCTTGGCACAATCCACTCGGGCTTCTCTTGGCCTTCTTTGCACTCTCTTGTCTGTGTCACTATCGTCGTGCAATCGTAGAACCCTATTCCCTGATATCCGAGACACTCGCTGTTTTCAGAGCAAGATGCTGGCAGTGACGTGCAATCAACAAAGGATTCCATTCCTGTTGCCAAACCAGCACTCGACTGACGCCTTATCAATGTTCTATCAGTGCATTGCATCGCCGTGCAGTGTGGTGGTGGTTCTCGCCATAACAAAGCTTTGACCAAGTTGCTGTTTTTGTGGTGTGGTTGTATCTGTACGTGATTCACCCAATCACGGCCACCTGATTAGCCTCTCTCTTTGCCGTTTCCACAGTGCCCAGAAGCGACCACCCAACCATGCTTTCTTTTGAGATAGCGGCGCCCTCCACGAATAAGACGCCCAGGGGCTTTAAACAGGGATTATCACTCAAACATCATGGGGAGTTGATCAACAATTGGGGGCACCTCGTGGGGTTTCCCGTTGAGGAAGGTGACTTGATTCCAGATGGCCAGATAGGGAGCTGATCCATGTTGCCTCCTCGCTCTCGACCTACCATACATAATCAGCTCGCACTCTTGGTTGGGACTCTTTGCTCTATCGGACGGATGTACGATCGAGTCTTTGTTGTTGATTCCTTATGATGTACATGGCTTGTTGATGATGGTTTGAATCGCCTCTCTTCCCTGCCGAATATCCCGTCCATGATATCGTTTCCATTGTTCGACAACGATTCTCGAAGAATGAGTGTGGCACACCATCTCTCACGAACTCATCCTCGATATTGGAGGCGTGGTGGTGTCGCCAGCATGTTGGCCCGAAACAGCGCCGTGTCGGGTCGAGGTTCAAATTGGCAAGTGCAAACGTGTGCTATGTCACGCAATACTGGATCCCTCTTGGCATCATCGACTACACTACTTTGGAGTACGCCATCGGGGACTGGATAGGTTCGGGTATTGCCACCCGAGCTTGACGCCATGAGAGCCATGTCACCTTACATTCAGTAGAGGTAGGTAGTTGATGGACATGGTGCTCGATTATTTGTCAATTCGCGACTCGGAGCGCCACCATCTCTGTCATGTTGCAAGTTCCCCAAAGTCGTTCGATGGTTCTGATACCAATCCTTCGTCATGCCCGAGAGAGGGCAATTCGAGGAAGGATTCTTGGCAAACATGCGATGGAAGGTGGACGACGTTTTGATCCCTGAGGTTACCTGGGCCGAATGGCCTCACTGTTGCCGTGTTTTCCGTTAATCCCTTTCCCATCACCGCCCAGCCTTTCCAGTGATCAACTTCCTCTTTCCACTTCGCCTGTCGCCTCGCGGTTACGTTAGCTGTTGTTGGCGATAAAGTTTCCTGGGAGGTCTCCTCAATTGCACACGTGCAACGTGGAACTGCAGTGCAGGTCACGAAGGTGGTTGCTACAGTGGAAATGTTTCGACTGAACTCTTGGCACGGACTTAATGACCCCGCTGTGTAAACTATGTACAATATATCACCCGTCGGTTTGTTAGTTTGGTTCTTCTGACGGGTTAATCAACCTAGGGTAGAACAAGGCCAATCCCGAGACATTATTGGCCGTAAGGAGAGGAGAACCTGTTTCCATTGGTGGAGTCTCGATAGTAGTTAGGGCTCTGAACGCTACAAAACTATCTCGAGGTCTCCAGTTTCTTTAAAACAACAAGATACGAGTCTACAGCATCTAATCCTCGACAATGTCGGCCCCTTTCCCAAGTCTAGCAACATGCAGTCTTTTGTACCCAAGTAACAAACGAACCAGGGCTGGATTGTACAGGCAAGTACATCTGGGGAGCCACCATCCTCAACTTCGTGAGACAGATGATGCACGCGGAAGCAGCCCTATGAGAATGTTCATGCGTGTGCCCTAGGGGCGTTCAGGGCACGATCCGTCTCCCGGTTCATGCGTTGCATCTGGATGTCACCGTGTCCTTCTACAACTGATTTCAAGGCAAGTCTCTTCCAGTCGGAAATATGAAAAAAGCAGGAGAGGGTTTGTGTGATTGCTCGTCCTTCTGACCAAGAAAGGGTCTCAGCCTTCTAGCCCAAACGGTCAAGTACCCCGCCTGTTCGTGAAAACCACAGCTTCGAAACCGGCAGGTGCCCCATGATACGACATGCGGAAGGCGTACCTCAACTTGAATGCTGTTCAATTAGTTAGGATCCGCTAGGTCAAACCTTCCTTCTTCAACGTTGACTGTCTTTCCCTAGGCAAGAGTGGGATATCGAATGACACCATCTTCCTCCCGGATACACAAAGTACTTCAAGTCCCAACTACCTGACAACACATGGACCTCCGACTCTTATATGTAATCCAAATCAAATCATAAACAGCCTCAACGTCAACAATGATACACGTTACTAGCTCACCCCGGAAAACGCCTTGATCCAGCCTAGCTTCAGTGCTAAAGCACCCCGCATCGTCCACCGTAGTCTAGGCGCGGCAATCCACTGCGCCGGGCATTTTCTGCGCAGTGGGTCCCGGTCTAGCCAAGGACGGGCAAGGATTGAGGCAATCCAGCGCTGATTGGTCGATTATGAGCCTCATCACTAACACACCTTGCAAGGCGAGTGGAGCCCGAGCCAACGACCACCCCCATTTCAGAACCCTTCGGTTTAATACCGGATTAGGAAGGTGCGTGCAAGTGGTGATATGGGCGGATCACTCCGAGGGCTTCCCCGACCACGGAGGCCTGGATTGGGCTTTTGAATCTCGATACGTATCTCAGCAACTCGAGAACAGAGATTTTTCGAAAGACCACAATACGTCGGACATTGCGCACCAGCAATGAGAGCACATGTTTTCCTTCTCCTAGGGTGTCCCATAGGCATTCGAAATTCAAACATCTTGGGGATTCAATAGCCACATGTTGGATGGAGACAAAATGGAGAGCGAAAGGCCAGGGAATCCTCGACCTCGGGACAAGAAGAGCACGAGAAAAAAAAAATAACTGAAAAAAAAATTTGTTAAAAAACATGAAGAAACTTCAACCACCCGATTTACGATTGGTTTTCTCGCCCCTTTTCCATTTGCACCACTCCCTTGAAATGGAGCCCGGAAGACCGAAGAAAGCTGGAACCAATCACCAATACTCCCACGTCCCGACCGTTTGGGACAACGGGGCTGCTCAGATAGCGGAAGCACTCTCGGGGGTCCGTGAAATTGACAGGTTGCATTCGGCGATAGCACCAGACGCAGAACCCGGCCATGTTGCCATCGTTGTCATGTTGCCGTGCTCGTCTGCCTGTCTACCTGGCCATTTTCCCTACGCAGTTCAACATCACAATCGCGTCATATTACAATGTTGGAACACCAGGTTACTGAGACTTCAGCATAAATATAATGCGATTGGTAACCTCCCTTCTTCTTCTATTGCAGACTTCCGAATACTTTCGAGCAGCTTCCTGGAGTGGCAAAGAGTGAGAACAATCGTGCGGTACTAACGAGCCAGCAAGTAATCACCGAGAATGAGTAGAGTTTCTGGGGTTAAGCCGATGAACATCTGGTGTGGCGATGCTCGAAATCTGACATCCAACCCGCCCCTGAAAGGAATCATTGAACATAAAAGGCTCCTGATAAGTATAAGAGAAGTCACCGCGACAAAACCCTTCCACTTTCCACCTGTACCCAACGAGACTCATGGAACCGACACTGCAGGTGCCAAAAAAAAAAAAAAAAAAAAAAAAAAAAAAAAAAAAAAAAGAAAAAAGAAAAAAGAAAGGGACCAATGAAGCTCGATCAAACCCAGCCGCTTCCCAATAGTGCTTTGCTCTCACTTGAAGAGATAGCTCCAACGTCACTCAAGTGCATCTCAACTTTTTGCAATCAACCCATCATAACCGCTGGACCAGCAAACTTCCATTGATCACAAGAGTACCTAACTTGACGGGAAGAAAACGAGTATCGTACCGCACACCGGATACTTGCCATTTCAGACGTAACTACCCGCGAGTATTACGGGCCTACCGGTGAAGTGATTGTGTTTCAGGCTTCCTCCTTTCTCTTCAAAGTTCTTGCCTCGCAACGTGCAATGAGTTTTAAGATGTAGTAAGTCTTCATCGGTTAGTCGAGGGATGTTTGAGAGCGTGCCGACCGATGGACAACAACTTGTCTTTCCAGGAGACACGGCTACTTGGGGTATCCAGTCTCTTGAGCAGGAAAGATAGGAAGGGGAGCAAAGTGATGAGTAAGAGGCATCGCACGTGTTGCGAAGTCGTGTTTCATGACTTCACTGACAGATGGTCCATCAGAGTCGAACTTCTCTCATCTATCCAGCACTCCAGGTTCAATACAACATTTGAAATCTGACTCCGACGGTCATTTCAAGCTAAACGTGTATTATACGCAAGCTACTACTACCTACTCAATCTCTTCTCCCCGCAGTCTCCTTCGTATACCTTTACCCATCCATCTCCATCCCCATCACTTCCATCACACCTCCTTCTCCCATCCCACAAGTATCAAGCCCGAGGCGGATCCCCCAAAGGCACATACCTAACCCCAAACAATCTCCTCTTACTAACCTCCCCATCCTCCCCCTTCTGCACCAACCACACATGCTGCCCCAGCCCCATCTCATCATCATCAACAGGCACAAACATCCGTCCCGGACTTCTCAGTTGATCAATCAACTCCTTATGAATCTCCCTCGCCGACGCCCCCACATGAATCGCATCCCACTTCCCCTCATCCTTATCCTCCCCCATTCTTTCTCCTTGTCCTTCCACCTCTCCCATCGGCGACCGCTCATCCACGCTCGACTCCCGTCTTCTTCTTGCACTAGTACTAGTGGTAGTGCTTCCATCCGTAGCCGCCGAATCCGACGTCGTCTCGCGCCACCCCTTCCGCCCATCACCAACACGGAACCGCACCCGGCCTGTCTCGAGAAAGTCGCGGCCTTCAGCGGACTTGGCCATGTTGCGCGCGCCGAGGTCGCGCAAGGCGGGAATGTGTTCGAGACCGACAACGGTGCCGCCTTCGGAACCGACGAGCTCGGCGAGCACGTGCGTGAGGTAGCCTGACCCCGAGCCGATGTCGAGGACACGGGGGGCCGGGCGGGAGGGGGAGGGCAGGAGGGAGGGGAGCAGGTGTTCGATGGCTGTGGCGTGCATGTGGGGGGCGGAGATGGTGGCGGCGTGGCCGATGGGTTGGGGGGAGTCGGAGTAGGGGGAGGTGGGGGCGTAGTGGGCTCTGTCGACCTGTTGTTGTTTCTGTTAGTGTGGTGTGCAGAAGGTGGAGTGTGTTAAGGTACGAGGGTGATGGATGGGATGGGAGGGGTTGAAAGCGATTCTTGGCAGGGATAAAAGGTGAGAAGGCCATGAAGCGTGGGAAACTTCGGGTCCGAACTACTCGGTCAGCCCAGCTCATCCACACCTCCAAACCCCCGCCCCCATCATGCAGCTTCAATCATAAAAGCCCAAAGACAAACTGCGACTCAATCGTGAACCAGCTCGGGCTACAGAAACCGAAAAACGAAGGAAAGAAGGAAGGAAGGAGAAAAACTAACCTTCAGAAAAGCCTCCTTCACTCTCTCCTCCTTAATCAACCCATTCCTCCACAAATTCTCCACCAGCTCCGCGTTGCTCCCGCCCGACGAATACCACGCCATGTTGAGGTTACTTTTGAGTGCTGACCACCAGAGATTCGTCGTTGTTGTGGTACTGAAATTTCTGCCCTGAATTCTCCCGATAAGCGTAGTAGGACTGGGTCCGAGAGTAAGGGTATTTGCGGCGCAGGAGGTAGTTGAAGATGTCAAGCTGTTGTCGATGGAAAGAAGAAGTGTGTTGGGACAGGTATTATTATCCGAGGACTGCGCAGCTGTGGTCAAAGTAAGTAACGTTGACGGTTTCGTTTTGATGGATTTTAGTAGTGCGGATCTTGGTACGGATCGAAGAAAAAGGGATGTCATTCGTTCAGAGCCTGGAGTTGACAGTTCGGCACGAGTTCCATGAAGAGAAGCCCGGAGGATATAGATGGTGATTAGGTAGGTAGGTATGCAAGGTTGAAGATAAAAATGAAAGCCGAAGAATAGGTAGGTATAACTAGGAAAGACGATGGAAGATTTTACTTGTTCTTATTTCGAGAAGAAATTGAAGTATCAACAAAGAATGAACACAGACAAGGATGTAGCAACGACGACGATGTGTTGTCAATGCAAGTGCTTTGGACCTCCGCTACTATGTATGATGAAGCATTGACGTTGAACAATAAAGCATCTGATGTCAGATCCGGAGGGGGCTGAGCTCCACATATATCTGTGGTTAATTATCAACGTGCCATCCTGCATGGATCATAAGCACATGACTACGACACTGACGCTCAAATCGAAGCGAGGGAAGGAGAGGGGCAAAGCGTGCGGGGAAGGCCAGTGAATCGCTAAACGTCAACCCGTTGATTATCATCTTATCAGGCTTGGATTGATAGCAGAGCTTCCAGTTTGGACAGTGTAGACGATAGAGATATTCCGTGAACCGCTGAACATCGTTTTTTTCTTCGTCTTCTTCGCCCAACAAACCGTGGTCTACCTCAAGCACAACACCCAAGGACTAGTCATCAATGCAGTATAGCAACAGAAAGGAAAGACACATCCGCCCATTAAAATGCTCTTGTATAGGAGGAGGGGGAAAACAAAGAAAAAGAGTAGGATGACCGTTCGTATGTACGCGTACTGCTTTGCGTTCCTTTAACAGACTGTCCCAGAACACATGCCGAGACAAACGTAGACATTGATCCCCATAAAATGACTGTCCATGTCCATATCTCACACACCATCCATCGGCAAAATGCCAAGCAAGCTTCTCCCCAACGACGTCTATACCACCCGCTCCGGTGCCTCTCCCGTCGCGATAATCGGAATCCCCAACCCTCTATCCGGGCTCTGCAGCACCAGCATCTCATGCCTCCTGACCTTCATGTAATCACTAACGCTCTTGATGAGAATGAACCAGCCCACCAACATGAGGATGTACGCCACCCAATCGCTCGAATCCACCGATCCCCAGTTGTCGCCTCCCCTGTTGTCGTCCACCGCGCCCGGGTCAAAGTCGTGCGAGTTCGGATCTGGTGGGGCCGTGTACCCATCCCCTTCGGCGCCAGATTCTTGCGTGCCCTTCATCATGAAGCCGAACTGGATCAACGTGATTCCCAAGCCGGCGCGAGATCCGTTTTTGGCGGCGTGAGTAGAGTGGAGCAGGTAGGTGAGCAGGAAACCGACGAGCTGGAAGGACATGGAAATCATGCCGTTCCAGATGAATGAGACGATGGAGCCAACGGGCATGCCTTCGATGTAAACGTCGTCAGGTCCGCCGAGGCCGGGAGCGAGGATGGTGGTTTCCCAGTATGGGGGAGCAGCGTCTGCGGCTGCTTGTTCGTAGGACTGTTACACGTTAGTAAATGTGTCTCAAGGCTTGGCGGACAAGGGAATACGTACAGGTGGCAACTCCTCCTTCTCAGCGCCATTATTTCGTTCCGGCTTGGCTGTCAAGTTCGAAAAGACACCCTCATTCTGGATACCACCACCGTAGACCCTTCCTGACGTTTGTGTCGCTGACCCTCCCGCCGTTGTCGTGTATGATGTGGTTGGTAATTGTGTTGTCTGCCTTTCCGGCCCTGGCCTCGAACTTCCTCCTAATGTTGTTTCAGTCGATCCCGCTGCCCCGGAGGCCTCCGTCGGCGAAGAGTTCCGTCGCATCAAGCGCTGTCGGTCATCGGCATCATCATCGCTGTCGTCATCATCTTCGTCGGCGCCAAAGGCATCGGCGAGGTCGGGATTCACTGGGCGCTGGCTGTTGTGGATGGAGGATGCGCGAGAGTGAAAGGATGGTGGTGGCGAGTTGGGGATCGATGGTCGCGTCATCGAGGTAGGGTTGGTAGGTGTTGGCGTGTCGTCGTGATGGTCGTCATCATCATCGGCGTGGGCGTTGACCTGATGAGGATTGTTAGATTGATTGGAGTTGAGGTCTGATGGTGATGATGGGCGACAACATACCCTTTCGTAACGGGCCGACATGGTGGCGGATGTCTGCAAATGAGTCGTCGACTGGTGTCTGTCTTTGTCGTCTTTGTTGATATTGACAACTTTTGATGTCGGATGTGGTGTTTTGGGAATTCAAAAACCCCTCGCCTGGATCATGCGCGGAGATAAGAGATGGACTTTGTTGTTGATGGATGATGATCGGGCAATCAGAATGGAAATGGAGATGGAACACAGTTCGATGGTAAGACAAATAATGCCGGATGCTGCCAAGGTTCTCCTACTGACGTCGCCACTGTGTATGCAGGGCACCGCACTAAATCCGGTGGGCTTGCAGGGAGTCTGTCGCGCGTCGTCGTCTCGGGTGTTCAGGAGTGGAAAAGGAGGAAGCGATACGGCTTAGTATGGAGTAGTCAAGGAAGGAGAAAGTGGAACAAAAGAGAGAGACTAGAACAAGGAGACAATAGGAGATTGGGATTTTTGTTCGTATAATTGAGAGAGCCAAGTCGTTTGTTGTTGTCGTCGTCAAAGAGGATGGCCGTTGAGTCGACCAGAGAAAGAAAAGGAAGGGAAAAGTGGTTGGATTAGGAATACGAAAAGGAGTCGTATTGAAGAAATTAGTGAAACAAACCACGCAACATAAGGTAGCGACTACTATGCAAAAAAATGGTGGTCGACGAGATCGATGTCAGTCAGACCTTGGCCTCGTTGTCCTCAAATTGTTGTAGTCGGCCAGGCACAAATTGAAGAGTGAGAAAGAGAAAAGGCGCTGTCACTCTCCCCTCACAGTGTCACTCGACGCACGGCAGTCAGTGTGAAGGGAAACAAGATGGCAGCTGACCAAGCGGGATTGTGCCAAGAGCCCCAACGGCCAAGTCCCTGAAATGATTGTGCTGAAGCGAGGGACCGTGCTGGACTGCGCCATCCCGTCACGGCGCCAGTGGAAATAGTGCAGTGTGGAATTGCATGGAGCAGCGGAGACAAGCGGAGACGCTTCGTGAACCATTGTGGCTGATGCCCCAGCGAGCTGTGGCTTAAGCCAGATCTAATCTGTGGCTCAAGCTCTCAACGTCAGATCGACCGACAAGCCCATCGCTTCCACTTCCGCCGAGTGCCAAGCCCAGAATTTCAGAGGGGCTGCGCCGCCGTCAACTTCCATGCGATTGCGACTTTGCGATTGAAACCATCTCGCTGTGTCGTCGCCATCACCACAATCACCACAACCACAACCACCATGTCCGCATCTCTAAGAACCGTATGCCAAACCCCTTACACCGCAATTCCCACATCGGCATCACTAACACACAGATTGCGCCACAGCTCGCCGCAAGGCAATACCAACGCGCCCTCGGCGAATGGCCCCGCGACGCCCTCCGGCCTGAATGCCAGCTCCAAGACGTCCTCTCCAAGCGCCTGCAAAAGAACAACGGCAGCCTCTTGCCCAACAAGCCGGCCTTTACCAAGTTGACCAAGGAGGCGAAAGAAGAGGCCGAGATCAAGCAGGCGAATGCGCTGATTGGCTTGTTGGAGAATCGGTACAAGAACAAGGTGCGTTTTGGTTCGGTTCTGTCTGTCCCGGGTAGTCGCTACATATGCGTAGGAGTAACAAAAAGGGGAAATGGAAGGAAAAGTGCTAACGGATTGGGTTGGAAACAGTACCGCATTACTGGCGAACTTCTTAGGCCCAAGAGTAACCCCAAGTATTATACCGATTTGACCAAGGAGCTTGAGGAGGCGCCGAACAGGACCTTCCTTGGCAGGATGGCGAAGAGGCTGGGAGGTATCATTCGCTTCCAGTCGTAAGGCCGGAAGAAGACGAAGAAGAAGAGAAGAGGGGTGTAGGATTACTTCTGTACAAATACCGAATTGCATGTGTGGTTCATGGGCAGGCAGGCGTCTGGAGTCTGGGGAAATCAAAAGTAAAATAAAAGGCCTGGTACATATGATGGGCTAGAGCAAAGGCTCGTTGCGATAGGTCGCAATCGACAGCATTGGGCGGAAAGAAAAAATGTTCCACATTTGTCTGTACATGTTGGGTATATACCTGTGTCAAACATATATACAGCTTTTGTCTACCTATGCCATTAGGTGCGTTCATCCTGTCGTCGCTGGTCTCGTGGGTTTCGTCTGTCCATCTTTCTCTCTTCTGGTCCGTCTCTTGTACTGATCCCGTTGTCTTCATCCATCATAACATGAAAAGACGCCTCAACGCCCTCGCTCGTGGCAATTCCATTAGATATACTTTCTCTCCGGGTCGAGCCTGTCAAACAGATCCATGCTCTTCTCGTACATGGTGAACACAATCCCACCACTCAAAATCAGTCTCGCCAACCGCGGCAGCGCACCGCTCCAGAAAGTCAAAACGCCTTCCTGCTTGAAGATGATGCTGGCGCACCTGAACGAGTTGCCGTAAAGCTGCTTGGCCTCAATACTTTGCATTCTCGTCTTGATCGTATCCAACGGCTGAGTGACGTAGACGGTGATCAAACCCGCGATACCGCCCATCGCGAAGGTTCCAACAGCACCGAGCTTCTCCCCGGGTGCCGTGTAGCTTTCGGCCAGCTGCTTCAACGCGGTATAGGTTGAGAAACGAGTGGCGCTGTTGGCGGCTTGTCGCGCGGTGGTGGGGACGAAACCTTGGAAGAAACCGCGAATGCCGCGCTCGCGGTAGATGACAGGGACGGCGTCGAGGAAGCCGCGGAGGCGAGGCTTGGCGGACTTGCGGTCGTCGATGCTGATGGTAGATTTTTGTCAGCAACAATCCATGCGTGAAGTGACGGGTCTCTAACGGTGACTCGACTTACAGCGTGGTCTTGATGCTCTCAGTTGGCGTCACGGCCAGCAGTGACTCAGTCACACCGGCGCCAAAGCCGGCAAGGACGGTGCCTGGCCCAGAGAGCTTGCCGTTGGAATCGGAAAGGAGCTTCTTGTACTGGTCAAAGGCGACGAATCCTGTCCCACGTTCTGTTTAGCGGTTGTTTTTTTGGTCTCTCGATGTGTCTGGGAACCGTACGAATGCCCGCCTTGAGCGAGTTGCCGATAATCAGTGTCGTGCAGCCGGCATACCATTGCGCGCCAAAGGGCGGCCATGGGAGCTTCTGGCCCTCGGCTAACTTGCGGTTGAGCTGGGTGCGAGTCTTGGCGACTGTTGCGAACAATTAGACAATTGGATGTTTGTCGCGATGGACTAGTTCGTCGGGTCGATGTTTACGTACACTCGGCGGGATATGTGATGGCTGTTTGATTGTTGTCAGCGCTATGCGACCGCAGTTTTGCTGGCAGTGCGTGACTCGGATGAAGACTCACCAATCTCGACGGCGCCGGCAGTCGCACCAGCGAGAATGGAACGAAGGGCACTGGGGCCCTTGACGGCTGGGTGAGCCCGGGCATTATCGTCCTTTGTGGCGGCAGAGGACATTTTGGCGGAGAGACTGGAAGATGGACTGAACTTGGTTGGCTTAGTTGCGACGACAAAAAGTTGGGACGGGAATAATTAATTCAATTGGAAAGTTTGACAAACATGGATGGAATGACGCCGTTGCTCCGATTGCGGGGCCCCCACTCATGCGTTCCCGTCCCGTCTTCAGTGGATCCGCCTTCTCCACTTTTGACGAGTGACGAGAACCTTGAGAACCCTCGTTCTTCTTTCTCTTTTCATCCTCCTTCACCAACCACATGGCCGTCACATCACCCGCCTCCCAACGTGTCGACCTCCTGGTGGGTATCGCATACACATATTCCACTGTATGAGCCTCAGCCTTTTCAAGCATGGGCAACATGTATGGCCGCCCTCCCTCTCTATTCTCCGGGCCAGCTGGGCTGAGCTGAAGTCTTTCCTGAGAGAAGACCACCGGATCGATCACCACACCTCTGTCGAAATGAAGGATCATCTATGGGCCAGACGAATTGGTTCTATCAACTTTACGGGTCCAGCTCACGTACTCCATCTTCCCGGGTTGACACCTTCGTCGAGACCATATCCGACTTCCCGGGCCTGTGATGGACACGGAGACCTGCCCACGGATTCGGCTACCCCTGAGCTCTGTCTTCTGCGTTGTCCTTCGACACCCATGTCGATTCCCCAACATTGGCAACCCAAATCATCCAATCGCCGTCAACCCCCCCAATCTCAGCTGCACAGCCATCAACATATGTCGAACATATGTGATGTGCCATGTGCAGTTCTACCAGTGAACATCGCTTCATGTCTGTTCACTGCTAGACAGTCAGAAGGAAAATCCTTTAGGCAGAACTTCTTTCTTGCCAGATTGAGCCACTCGGTTCATCGACTTGCCCATTATCAAGTTCGACTCGTCTCAGTACGCACCAATTATTCTGGCTCTGGAGTTTGGCCCAAACACGACCACAGTCCAACAGCTCTTCACACCCCTAGTCATATGTCCGTTAGCGCCGACATAGCCACTGGCCACTCCGAGGCCAACTTGAAGCCACCCTCAATGTGACCCGGTTGGCAATGGCAGGTGGTAAGGCATTTTCGTTACACTGTTATGTCAACCTGTTCGCCTTGACTTTGTGATACCAACTCTGACAAGGCAACATGGTGCTTACTGCCGCGCACCTTCGCCGGCCTGCTCACTGCTGCAGGCCTAGCATCCAATGAAGGCCTGGCTCGGGTATCTGATGGGCGACATAAAGCTGAGCCCCCCCTCTCTTTCATTGAATTCATCAAGTGAACGACTTATTGACCCAGTGAGAGGTGTCATCAACAATCTGTCCTTCAATCTCTTCGAACGTGACCATGTCAGAGGTCTTCTGGCATATCGTGCCCTCTCCGGAAGATACGGAGCCCATCCCGAACTTGGAACTCCCGCGAATGCTTTGGCATGTCCAACATTCCGGATCCCAATCTATCAATCTCAAGGACGGTGGCTTCCAAGCTCGGAACCCCTTCCTTGACATCCGTACCTCCGATGCGCTGAAGATAGAGGCAGGTAGGCATTTCAAATGGGGGACGCGGGACTGGGATTCTTGTTTTCTCTCTGCCTTCGACGATCAGGTTCACGCAGATAATTGGGCCAAGTTACGGTGCCTTGAAAAGCCCGTCCTTGTCTACGAGTTGGACACGTCCAAGTTACCAGCCGGCACCACACTATTCCAGTCAACCGCGCTGTGTCGAGCCTTGGATATTCGTCATCCGTGGATGGAGGACGAATGGATCTTCTATCAGCAAATTCCAACTAGCTGTATCGCTAGACGATACTATCCTTGGAGTAACTATGAGCGCATCTTCCAATCCCCAAGTAAGTACAGCTGTACAGCGGCCGTGGCTCGGTGCGATATTGGAACTCAGTGAGCAGTAAACTGACAGTTTACCAGTACATCTTACAGTCTCGGCTGAGCTTCTTGTGGGTGCTGAATGGCTTCCACCGCGCAATACCGATGGGCCTAGGCCGCCCAGCCCAGCCAAGAATGAGGAAGATCAGGACGACCTAGATGACCTAGCCGGCAGGTTGAACGGGTTAGAGCTCGACAACGATGCCAGCACACCGAATGGCGATACATCCGATGCAGATGGATCAATACACGAGGTCGTCAAAGTCGAACCAGCCGACGATACTCCCAGCGGCATTGTTTCGGAACACGAGGAGGATGTTGATGCCAACCCGATCGTCGATGCACCAGACGAAAGTGATCCAGTAAGGCAAGAGGGCACCGACTCATTGACCGACGATATCCTGAGGACCAATGACGCAGCAACAGAGCACATCGACCTTACCCCAACTATTGACACGCCGAACGTCGAAGCTTCGGTCTCGGAGGAGGACACTGATACTCAACTGACCGGCGAAACCGTCGTGGCGGATGATTCGGAACAAGAAGAGGTTATCAACCCTTCTTCGAAGGATGACTTGTCCAAGGCTAATGCTGGTGGTCCCTTCCAACAGAAGATCACCTGGCAGGCCAACAAGGAGATCCTGGAGACCAAATCGAGTGTCTCGGTAGTGGTGCAGTTGGAAGTCCGGGCCGCAGATGAGGTTGAGGGTTGATCTTTTGCGTGCTTCATGGCATGTTCTTTCCGGTAATCAGGCTGCGTCTTTTCAGTGCGATGGGTATGATTTATCAGTGTTGTTCAAAAGTTGAGCAACCCTCTTGGTGATAAACGCAGGAAGCTTTAGCTCAGCTGTGTACAGGTGTATGGTGGGTGCTCCCGATAAACTCGCTGGAGGATCGAGAAGGCAAATAGACAAGAGTGTTGCTGTGCGAAACCTTGGCTTATGCGGCGATAGCAAACGTAGGTGCCTTACCGAGCGTCAGGTAACCTGTAATGCAGGATAACCGACATATGTAGGTAGCCATTGGCCACTTTCCTACCAACCATGTTAGGACACGATTGAATCCCGGACTGGGCACCATTAGCCAGGCGTGCTGTGAGGGTAGAATTCCAAGGATATATCTGATATTTCCCCTTCCTCTTTCACGACCTATGTTTACTTTTCCTTTCCACCTGTTCATTCCGTGTGCATCCCCCGTTAATCCAGTCAAAATCACCTCATTCAACCACCATGACAGCAGTCTTTTGGCATATCGTTTCCCCCGACCATCCCACCGCATCACTGGTCCTCCCACCTAAGCTGTTCTACGTCCGGCACGGCCATTCACAAGCCTACGCAACCGCCGATGGCGGATTCGTTTCCCGTGCACCAGATCGCGACATCAGCGATGAAGAAGAGCTCAAGAAGAACGCCACGATGCACTTTGACTGGACCAACTGGGGCTGGGAATCCTGTTTCATCTCGGCCTTTTCCGATCAAGGCCACGCAGAAAAATGGGGCCGCAGAGCCTGTTTTGGGGCTCCCGTCACGGTTTACGCATTGGACACGCAAAGACTGCCGCCGGGGACTTTGGTGCTGAATGCCTTTATGCTGTGCATTTCTCTCGGTATCAGTAACGCGTACAATGAAAACAGCAAGGATGAGTTTCTCTTCTACAAGGGCATACCGGGCAGTTGTGTGGAGAGCAGCTGGGACCCGTGGGGGTATTGTCCCCCTCAGATTGGGTCTCATCCCCCAATGCGTAGAGGTAAGTGGAAGTTCACGGCGGCATGGCTTTGGGTATATAACTGCCCGAAGTTGAAGAGGGTTTAAAAGTTGAAGTTCCCAAAAGGCTAACGAGGCTACCGGACGCCAACACAGGCTTCTTAAGCTCCTGGGTCGACATTGTAAAAGAAGCCGAAATAGCACAAACCATATACCAAGTCCAGACCAGCAGCACTTCCTGGACCACAAACAGCAGTTTTTCGGCTAGTCCTGCCGCCGCCACCGCCGCCACTGCTGCGCGTCAAACTCTAGATGGGCTTATGAGGGAAGAGGGAAGATTGCGGCAGGAACTGGAGGAATTAGAGGAGCGCCAACAAGAGTCCATTGTTGAACTCAACAACCTCAACAACGACGCCGACGCCGACGCTGACGCAGTCTACGACCCAAACGCGGTAGATGTAGACGACGTGTGCGACCTAGCCGGCCAAATGGAGAAGGTATTGAACCTCAGCGGCAGCGGCACAAACAGGGTCGATGTCAAAACCCGTAAGACAAGGAGAAACACACCCCGAACACCGAGAGCGTTCGAAATCCATGTTCGACGTCATCCAGGAGTTGTATATCCCAGTCTTGATTCATATCCCTGCTTTGGCTTTCTCAAAAATAAGAGTCCCCTGAATCCAACACTTCCGACACCATCGACGACGCGGACGTGAACAACCCAACCGGGGCGGACGGGCAGATGAAGGTGTTGGACGCCGAAACCAACCTTGACGCCCAGAGCCGCACAATACCGGAGGTGAACACCGCGGAAAACACCGTCACGACTATGACCGAGGCCACAATTATGGTCGACAGTGCTCCTGCTGGTGCTGCTACTGGACCTTGAAGAGGGAAAAGCGTCTCTGGTCATGGTCACAGGGCGGGCGCAGAGAGAAGCAGAAGAGAACGAACCTCGAAGATGGAAGGAAATGGACCAGGAGGCTGAAGTGACAAACGGGAAGTACGCTGGGAGAATTGGAGGAGTTCGAGAATCTGGGATTTTGGCGGTTGTCATGGTGTTGGTTGATGTTGCAGTGAGGATGTGGATTGTTTGTTGCCGATGTGGAGGTATGATGGTGTGGTGGTGATCTTGATGGAAGCTGCGGATGAGAACTGCGTGGTGATGTGTGAGGTGACGACACCACGTAGCAGAAAGTACGATTCTGATGCCTGGGCTTGGAAGGTCCTTCCTCCTTTTCTCTTTTTCCCCAACGAAAACATCACACCAGAACATGTTCATGGGTCCAAGGGGCCAACAGGCAGGAACAAAAAAAAGGTAATCATCGATTTTTGCGTCAAATGACCAGTGACCCGTTAATTTGCTCTTTCCCCCCGGAGAGGAAATTGGGACTTTGGTTACGCGCCTTGGGGAACTTGGCTAGCGTGCATGTAGCGATGCCGTGAAAGCCCAGAAGATGCACAATGTCATGCGGATTGCCTGTACTGAAGAAGGGACCAGCAGTCGCCCTTCTTGCTTTGTCTCCACGTTCGGAAACTTCCACGATGCTGTTCTCTGGGGTGGGCAACTCCCTGGCGTCGTCAGGATCTACAGCATTGACACTACAAAGCTTCCTCCGATAGCCTTCGTACATGTATTCCGCCCTTCCGACTTCAACATGTTCTGGCGCAAGGACGAGTACTTGTTCCTCCACCAAATTCCGGAGCGTGGTATTGCATGCTTCGTTGTCTTGCGAGGGGGACCGTTTCTCTGTTATAGTTCGCAAGACCCGAAACAGGCATTCTGCGCCATCTCATGGTCAACTAACGAGCGCCCAGAAACCATGACTTCTTTCGCCGACGGCTACTCTTCACCTGCGAGGGGAATATATAACAACGGTTACTCTCAACGTCCCTGCGGATATATGGGCGTCTCCAACTCCAACTACACTGAACGATACCCAGCTCTGACGCAAGCGCCATATAGGCGCCAAGGTACCAACTACTGGTAGCAAGAGACCCGACTCTGGCCAACCTATACTAGGACGTAGACGTCCAGTACCTAGCCAGTTGAAGAAACTCCAAATCCGTCCAGCGGACGTGTTGGGCACTACAAGTAACAGTGAGGCGCCAGAATCTCTCGTTGGCCGGTAGCCTCCCAAGGGCACCGTTAACCCCGAGCCGAATAAGGAAACACACTGGGAAGGAAGGAAGAGAGAAGTGTGGGGAACACAGCGGTGAATGAGACGAAAGAGAGCAACTGCGAACGATAACTGCATTGCCTCACTCGAGCATGAAGATCGCAGCTGAGATCGACCACTGCGGTCAAGTGCACCGCATAGACTTCTCACGATGCACCTGGTCCCTGAGCCATTTACACATGCAGTGGTCTAAAGGCCAGATCCTGCCATGAGTGGCACACATGGAAAAAAAGAAGAAAAAAAAAGACCACCTCGAAACGGGCCAGGTGAACAGAAACGGACGGTTTATCCAGGAAGGGGAGGGAGGTTGGGGAGTTCGCGCTCGGATCACTCAAGATCGTCAAGCTATTTCTACGCATCACCATGGTCTTTCAAATCAAAACTTCAGCCCATGTTGTCGTTATCACCAAACTTGCTTCCTCTGACCAACGAAGGCCGGAGCATAGCCTTCTTTTCTTATCTTCAGGCTTTGTTCCTGTTGGAATGCTGAGCCTGGCAAAGACATTAAACAACCACAACGAACTTTGCGACTCTCCAACGCTAGAAAGGAAAGAGGAGGCAGGAAGGAATCGATGTCTTTATCATCAGCGCTAGAGGGAAGGGCGGATGTCCCACATCAATAGACGCACCGGGACCTGTCTCACATCTGGGATTTCTGGCTCCTGCCAAAACAATAGTGATAAGGCAGGCACAAGTCCTTAGTGCGGCTTGGTCGGCACCTGTGTCGGCTGTCGCCTGCAAACCACTGCAGAACATGATGTGTACCACCAATGTAGCTGCCGGTTGGACGTTATCCTTCATTGGCAGTCTCGCACTTTCGTTACAATTCTCAGTTGTGAACTTCCATCATCAGCTTTGGGGCTTTTGGGCTTCCATGAATCGCCAAGACCAATAGAGAAAGAAGGACTCCTCTCTTTGGCCCTGGGCCTTCTTCCTGTCATGCACCATCAGCCGGGGTTTGCTGCCGGTCAGAGGCCTGATATGATACCTAAGTACTTGCTTCGACAGCATTGCTTCTTCAACTCCAACTCGACATAACCCACGCTATCAAATATCTTTGTCGGTAGTCAAACATATCTGAAGCTACCTAGTCATCTACTGTTCAACTCCAAAGGCAATACAACCATGATCTCCTGACGAAAACTAGAAAATGTAACATGCTCCGCTTGTTTCCATTCCACTCCGCACCGTCCACCACCTTTTCGACTTGACAACCAAACGTTTTTGATCAAGGCGCCATGGCTCAATCAACCAACAATTTCAACGTGCTCATCCCAGAACGCCCAAGATATCTCTACTTTGTGCAGCATGCCAGCTCTCGGGCCCGCATGACCAACGACGGTGGTTTCGAAGCTGCAGATAACTGGACTACGCCATACAGCTGCGCACATCTCCAACAGCTCATCATGAACCATGTGAACTGGACGTGCAGAATTCCTAGCTGCTTCATTTCCACGTTTGGTAGCTTCGACCACGCCTATGACTGGGGAATGCAGAGGCACCGACCGATCACCATCCACCAGATTGATACCAATCAAATGCACCCACAGAGGCCGATCTTCACAGCCTGTTATTTCACGCCCAATTGTTGTGTTTGCGAATACCTGTTTCTTCACGACATTGCTGGTTCCAGCATCACTTACAGATACTCACTTCCCGGTTCCATTCCATTGAATGGTAAGTAGCGCTCGTCCGTGCAACTGTCAAAACATGTCCTGCGACTTGAGCTAAAGGATGTATGCAGAAACAAACATGACAGTGACGAGAAGTGCCTGGTACTGAGCATACAACACACATAGCCTTGGGATTCTTCAATATGCTACTGTGTGTGTTCCCATTGTCGGGACAGCCAGGTGGGAAAGTCTGGCAATGTCCGGGTTTCAGGTTGCTCAATAACCGGGTATTTGTGGCGCAAAGCATACCTCTAGGGTATACGTAAAGAGATGGAGCATGGCACAAAAGGAACGACATGCAGTCACCACAAAGAAATGTCAGTAAAGGCCCTTCGTCCTATAATTTCGGGACACCGGGACTACGACTCAACTCTTTTTCCTCTCCCGCGTCTCCACTGAGGTGCGTCCCTTTACCAGTTATAAGTGGATGGTGACGTGTTACGATGCAATGAGGGATAACCTGGGAAAGTATGTAAGCAGGTCGATAGACCAATCAAAGGGACGCCGCAGAGCCGCAACTGTGATATCGGCGCGGCGGCCCTCCTTCTGAAAGCACGTATATAAGAGAGCCTCCCGGCCTTGTTCCGTTCCAGCGATGATACTCCTGTACTTGTGAGGGTTCGTCACAAACAGTCAACTTTCAACCTGGTCTGTAGGTACATTCCGGTTTCGAATCGGATAGAAGGCCATCGTAGTGACAGCTGGCGCAGAACTTTATCCCTACTGTGACGACCCGTTACAAGCATAAGAGTATATCGCTGGGATAATAGTCAACGGTAGTAGTCGCCAAAAGGTACTGATATTGCTTGCTGAAGAACTAGTATTTAGGAAGCCCGGGGGGCTTCCTTATATACAGGTCTCCAGCCGGGGCGCCGCCGGGCCGCTCGAGCGGCTCTTCACATGATTGGATCGTAACACCTACGTCACCATCCTGGCGGAAGGACCTTCGTGGTGGGGGACGGGTGCTTTTTCCCCATCACTCGATGAACCTAATAAGAACGGCCATTTTGAGCATTTGTCGAAACGTCACTCCGCTCTCAAAACCCTTGTATCGACTCTTGCCCCGGCCCCTACAACACCTTCCATGTCTTGTTGCCCAACCGGGAGTGAGGAATTCTTTCTAACAACATTGCTGATCGGCCACACCAGGTACTGAGCGCCTCTCACCAAGTCACAGCATCATGGATCGTTGCAGTGGTGATGAACCCTGGATCTGTTACTCCGAACACTACGAGGACCTCCCGAAATACTTGTACTTTGTCAAGCATGCAGGATCCCAATCCTTTGAAGACAATGACGGCACCTTTTGGGCAGCTGATGGCTGCAACACAGGCCACCGAGGTCTAGTTCGTCTTCAGAACTTGATTGACCAGCATGTCAACTGGCGCAATCGGGGCGCTACGCGCTTTATCTCGACTTTCGAACATTACAGACATGCGCAATACTGGGCTATGCAGCGTGACGGACCGGTCACCATCCACACAATCAACACCTGTCTTGTGTGCGAGGACTGTCCTCCCATCTTCTATGCGCCTAGATTTACCGACAACTGTTGGGAGACCAGCGAATACCTGTTTCTCAACCGCATCCCCGGTCATTCTATCATTCGCAGCAGAAGTCTGTGATGAGTAAGTGCAGTACAGTAGTCCCCTCTTCTTTGCATTTCCGGGCGTGTGACTGACGCTGCAATGGTAACAGGGAAAATCCAGAGATTTGGGCGCTCTCAGGCTATTGCTAGGGGTTCTGTCACCTACCGCATTTTCTCGGGGCATCCATGTTTAGGTTCCCAGGAAATCAGGCATAAAACCACATACATATGCCCGATTCTGGACATTTTATGCCCACCAAAATAAGCGGGGGAGTCGTGTTGCCACCCCGGAGCACTGTAAATTCGATTCCTCCGGTGCCATATCTTTTCTACCTATTTTCTCAAGGGAGTTGGAGGGTGGGGACATTGAGAATCACGGTCTTACATAGAAATTTTGGTGGGCATAAATGTTGCAGTATGCTTATACGTTATGCCTGATTTCCAGGGAACCTAAAGATGGATGCCCCGAGAAAATGCGGTACGTCTAGCTCTACTGTCAATGGGAGTTTGCTTTACCTCGGTGTTGTCATGCGAGGTAACGAGCTTCCGGGAAAACAGGGGGTGTTCAAGATGGACTGAAGAGGAAACTTGAATCAGCACAGATGAAGCAAAATGTAAAAGTGGTGGATGACTAAGGAATAAAACGGAAACCGGAGAGAGCCGCGTTGGCAACACGCAAGCTTTTCGCATGATGTTCTTGCTTTCCCTTTATCGGTAGAGTCGTTTATATCAACGGTTGCTTCAGCATTAGGATAACATCCATGGTTGCGGCCCACTTATCTCTCGGTCGTATGAACTTAGGGGATAAATATCATAAATGGAAAGCAGATCCGTAGGGCATTCAACGGCTGGCGGAAGTCACGCTCAAGAGCAGACAACCAGTCCAAATAGCAAGAGCATTCACAACGGAATAGGTAGGGTATATGAGTGATTGCAATCCATCCAATTCTTTCCTGGCCCACATCATCTTCTTGTTCGTTCCGTACCGCTTTCAGCTCGTTATCCAGCACAATCCAAGGTCATTATCGATCATCATTATACCTGAATATCTCTGTCTTACAATCCCTTTTCCACCACCATGGAGGACATTTTTCGACCTTGGACCCTTGCAGGCTGTTTCATGACGCCCGAACTCTTTCCTCCCCTCTTGTACTATGTGCGACATGGAACATCCCATACTCTGTTTGGGCCCAACGGCGACATCCTCACCAAAAACCCAGACAAGAGTCTTAACATCTCTTCCCGCGACGAGTTTGAAATGTTAGTCCGCGGGCATCTCAACTGGCAGACCAGGGGACCAAGCTTCTTCATCTCGACCTTTTTCAACAAGAGGGAGGCGTGGCGCTGGGGTCTGGAGCGCGAGCCCATGGCGGTCCTGTACACGATCGATACACGACGACTACCCGTTCCCTGGCCGGTAGTTTGCGCCGGAGTCCACACTCAGAACACGCTTGATGCCGACTTCTTATTTCTTTCTCATATACCAAACCAGGCGATCATCCGTATAGACACCGTCCGCCCTCACCTCCCGCAAGGCCTGGCTCCTGGCGATTATTCGAACCCTCCCACACCACCCACACTTGGATTTGTCCCTCCTCCTCCGCCCTACGTCGAGCCTACTCCTGGGCCCCATGTTCGGTTTGCGTCCCCGCCGCAAATCGCGTCACCACCACAGTACTCGGCACCGCAGCACTTCTCGTCACCGCCGTATACCACACCTGGGCGGTACATCACGCCTGTGCCGCCTGTCGAACCCCCTTCTCAGGTTCCTCCTGTTGATGAATCACAGGCCAGGTCTGAGTCCGGTAGCACACGTGAGCCCGAAACGGTTCCTTTGCCAGCGCCGTCTTCCACGTCACAGCCACGTACCCCGCCATCGCAAGTCATACCAGGTCAGATTGTCGAGTCCCCCCCTAAGCTCTCACCTCAGCTGCAGAAGGAGACAGCTGTGTCCGAGCTGCCGGTTCCTTCGGGGACGGAACCAGCTATTGCGTTCGATTTGGAGCCGGGTGTTGAGCCGCAGCCAGAGCTCATGCCAGGTCAGCTTGCTGAGTCCCCTCCTCAGCTCTCACCTCAGCTCCAGGATGAGACGACTGTGTCCGAGCTGCCGGTCTCTTCGGGGACGGAATCACCTATTGCGTCCGATCCGGAACCGGGTGCCGAACCCCAGCCAGAGCTGGGCCCCGAGGTAGACTCTGAGGTCACTGCTGCGCCTGAGCCCGAGATACCCAACGGCGTGCCTGGGACACCCAACGGCGTGCCTGGAACATTTGTCCAGTCTCTCCCCATACGACTTCTCCAGTCCAATCTTGGGACGCCTGCCGGAACCAGATTTGGAATCAATTTCTTTGCAACGGATTACGGAGAGACTCCCGAGTCGCCCCGTTCTGAGCAAGCTGTCAACTCCAACCCGGAGGCGCCTGCAACTAACGGGATTCATATCAACGGCGTACCTGGAACACCCAACGGCGTAGCTGGGACACCGAATGGCGTGCCTGGGACACCTGTCCAGTCTCTCCCCATACGATTTGTCCAGTCCAATCCTGGGATGACTAACGGGATTCATATCAACGGCGTGGCTGGGACACTCAACGGCGTGCCGGGGACACCTGTCCAGTCTCTCCCCGTACTAGTTGTCCAGTCTAATCCTGGGACGCCTCCCGGTACCAGATTTGGAATCAATTTCTTTGCGACGGATTACTCGGAGACTCCCTCTCCCGATTCCCCCCTTTTTGGGGAAGCTGTCAACTCCAACTCGGAGGCGTTTGTACCTCTTACTAACGGGTTTCATATCAATTTCTTTGCGGAGGACTAAATGGTATGTTGAGCAGAGCATGCCCCTGATACTGAGCCAGCCATACACGATGCCTTGCTAATACGAATCGTTGAGGCACGTTGTAGTCTTTGGGCCGAGCATTGCCCCCCGAGATACCTCCATGCTCGTGGGTATGTCCAATCAGTTCTCTTGTGGAAAAGGACATGCCCTTAACTGGAGGACGCTGATGTGTAAAGGGTGATAGGGTATTTTCCTTGCTGCAAATTCTTTCTTTGGCATGTTATCTCAAGTATAGGGTGAGGTATGTTTGAATATTCGACTGTCTGTCGCTTCGTTTGATCCTTGGGGCATGTCCCGCTGACGTTTCTTGTACTAGATCCATGCCCAGCGTACCAGATGAGCGCATTGAGTTATCACAAGTGCATCGCTGGATATTGAGGATGCAACTGTGTGGTAGTAAATTTGCAAAAATGACTCATTTGCTTCTCTGTAAGCTGCATGAAAATATCGAATGCCTACATAGAATCTTACAGTTTTTCTTGCTCCGCTTCAGAAGTATCATGAAGAAACAGCGCTGGAGGAGCAATAAGGCTATTTCTTGCACGACCAGAACTCCTAACAAGTGCCAATGGTCCACGAGCTAAACATCTCAGCCGATAGCCTTGATCTCAGCTACGTCTAGACTTCAAACCCTCAAGGCTTCCCCAGCGCAAGTCCATCCCCTCCTCCATACTCAAACAATGCAAACTCCACCGTCTTCCTGGCAAGTTCCTCCTCCTCCACCAACCCCTCTCGCTCCGCAAACCACTTCTCGATCAACTCCCCCTCCTGCTCATGGCGCTCCTCCAACCACTCATCATAATCCAAATCCATATCCTCCCCCTCCCTCCTCCTCCCCTTGGCGCGCGCAACAGCTCTCTTCCCCCTCCGCTTCAACGCCAAATACCTCTCCTTCCACGCCACCCTTTCTTCCAGAGCCGCCATATCTTTTCCTTCCTCTTCTTCTCCATCCTTCACCTTCCCTTTTTCATTTTTCTTCTTCGCCTTGTCTTTGATCCTCTGGTCCATCTCATCAAGAAACAACCGCATCAGTCCATCGTCTGTATTCTCGTCGCCTGCGTACCCGCGCAACACCTTGATGTACCGCTGCGTGATCTCGCCCGTGTCGGGGTCATGTACCGTGTAGTCTTTGTGGCGCCAGACTTCGTAAGGGTGTTGGACGCCGAAGGCGTTTTGGATGGATTCGATTACTTGCCGGGCTTGGGGAGTGCATTGGATGCGGGCGACGCCGCCTAGGGGGTAGTCCCGTTGGTGGAGGGTGATCATATAAGGGGTGGAGGAGGTGCGGTGGGAGGGGGTGATGGGAGGTTTGGTGGTTGTGGTTGTGGCTGTGGTAGCGGCTGTGGAAAGTCGGGGTTTGGGGGTCTTGGTTGGTCGGGCGGGATTGGGATTGGGGGTGATGGTGGCGCCGGTTTCGTCTAGTTGGATTGCTCGTAACTTTCGGGTGATGATGGTCTTGCCACTGAGGTTGGAAGGCGCTGTTGTTGTGTTTTCGGATTTGGTGCTGGCGGTTTCCTCTACGCTGGCCTGTCGACTTTGAACTCTTGTGGAGCGCCGGGGAAATGCAGATGCTGATGAACCTGTGGGTGCAGGAGGCGCAGCTGCATTACCGCTGTCGTTATTCTCCTGCAGGATTTCCTTGCCCTTGTCTTTCTTGTCGGCAACCTGCACTTCTTTGGCCCTTTCTTTCCTGTTTGTCGTCTTGGATGTCTGAACCTCCCCAGCATCAATGATTTCCATGTCTTCACACTCTTCGTCAAGCTCTTCCTCAACTGTCATTCGCACATTCTCCTTCCCTTCTTTTTCACTCCCCTTCGCTCTACCGCTAACAACAACAGCATTATCACTCTCCTCTTCCTCTTCCTCTTCATCCTCATCCTCATCCACCACCTCCATCCTCTTCACCCTCTTCACCTCCCTTCCTTCGGGCTCCTCCACAACAGGCTCCCACTCCCCACACACTTTCTCACTCCACACACAAACCCCCAACTTCTGCATCTCCTCCCCACTCATCCTTACCGCCTTATACACATGCCACTTATCCATCATCACCCCCGAATTCGGCTCCACCTTTTGGTTTCCGACCCCCTCGGCGATTCTGCTCACGATGAACTCCGCCCTAGGGTATAGTAGTCCGATGACAGAAAGGTATCGTGCCTCGACGAAGACGGTGCGGTTGAAGGGTTCACGACGTACCGAAATGGGAAGAGCGCGCGGGTACATGTCGTTGTAGAGGACGGGCATGCCGCATGCGCGGAGGTGGGGCTGCAGGGAGTCGGTGGTGCCGAGTTGCAGGGAGCGAGGGGGGTTCATGGCGAGGGAGAGGAGGGCGGGCGTGAGGGTTCCCGGGATGCGAGGGGGGAAGGGGGAGAGGAGGAGGGGGTGTTGGATTGGGGGTGGGAGAGCGAGGAGAGGTTGGAATTGGGCCATGTTGGTGAATCGAGGTTGCTGGGTTTGGTCGTTGCTTTGGGTGTGCTGCTGAGTACATGTAATATCGCGGTGAGGGGGTTGAGGTGAGGTGTCTCCTTTGTCTTCAATGGGGGGGTTAGGGGCGAGTGGGCGTAGGTGATGGCGATGTGGACCACGGCGGTGGGTGAGTATGGGGTCTGTAACTTCTACAACTTCATTTACTGATGTTTCTTGTAATGCGTCCTGAGGCAGGCTCGCGGGTCCATGTCTTGAGGTTGTTGGTTGCGGATTATGGGGCGCAGTACTCGCAGTTGCTGAGGGGCCAGGGATAGCTGCTCTCGTGTGGTGTCGCACTCCTTCGGTTTGAGAGTTCAGGTGCTGGCCATGTCGAGAAGATTCACCGTCTTGCGGTCCGGAGACGTTGTCAGTACGAGTCCTCCCATCTGCGGACAAAGATCGGCCACGCTCAACAGCCAAGTCTCTGCCCGGAAGCACAGGTCGTGCTGCAAAGATGGGCCGCCAAAAGTCTTCGGGGGGTGGAATATAGTCGGAGTAACGAGTCGAATAAGGTACTCCAGATGGGAAAGATAGCCCAGTTCCAGGAGCAAAGCGCCGTAAAATGCTGCCCCGTGGAGGAGTAACGATGTCCAGGCTGGCAGCTCTAGGTCTGGCACTCTCTTGAGATTCCCGTCTCTGGAGGCTAGGATCGTAGGATGCGGACTCCACATCCGCATGGCTTGTTGCTTCGTCTACACCCTCCTCGATCTCCATGTCTGCCACTGAAGGTATAGTCACGCTTTCCAGCAGCAAGCCTATGTTGTACCTTCGCGGTCGCTGATACTGTCCCTCACGTCCTTGTAAGTCTTCTTCTTGTCCTTGACCAACGCGCTTTGGTGTCACGTTGTTTTGCGGAGGGCTTGAGCTGGGAATCCCAACCTCAGCCTCTCGACCGGACTCCCAATCGTTCAAGTCCATTTCCATGTCGCTGTTGTCTGGTCTTGAAGGCCTGGCTGGGGTTGCGGTTAGAGAAGTCAACGGGCTGCTGTCAGGTTCGTCCTGGAACCGGAACGGACCCTCATCCGCCTCCGACATTGGTCCTTGACCGAATCCGCGACTAAAGGCTCTCGACTTGCTTTTAGCGGGTGATTGGACGTTGGCTCTGACAATTCTGTCTTGTTGGCAATGAGGTGTTCTGGCTGACGGGAAGGCTCGGACGTCGCCTTGCGACATGCGGTTAGAGTGACGTGGGAGTGATGGGCTCGATGCCGCTTGCTGGAAAAAGACGCGACCATCTTGAGGAGGAGAGTAAGCGAGAGAAGAAGGGTTGAACGGTTGTTGGTGATGGATACTTCCATCTCGAGAAGGAGAGTGATCCTGAGGGCTGTATTCAGGGTTTGATTGAGAGTTAAACCGAGAGATCACTTGAGGATTGACGTGAGGGTTGGAGAAAGCGTTGGGATGATGGAGGCCCAACTGCTGCTGTTGAGAGATACTTCCATCCCCAGGAGGAAGGGAAACGTGACGGTTGGGTTGAAGCTCGACCTGAGGGTTGTACTGATGGACGTCCAGAGGCGGGTGTTGATAGACACTAGTCTGCTCAACGGCATCGCTCTGGCTGGTTTCTACAAGCAGCTGAGGTGCCTGTTGAGGGAGACTTGGTTGATCAGCGGCATCGCTCTGGTTGCTTTCTGCAAGCAGTTGGGGATCGATCACGTCGTCGGGGATGTCAACTGTATTGGAGCGCCAGAAGACATGTTCGCCTTGGCCTTCTGGCACGCGACGATGAGGATACATGGTGGGTAAAGACTTGAGTCCTTGCTGGGAACTAGACACTGGAGAGTTTGCAATGTTGCTGGTTGGTAGAATGTCGTCGTCGGTCTGCGCTGAGATGTTGTTGAGGTGCTCAGTCAGAAGTTCGTTGACTGTGGTATGGGTGAAGGGAAGAGAAAGTCTGACACGGTAAAGAAACGAAGATAATGTCGGGAGAGTATACTACCTGTCGCGTCTTAGGACACCGACGCGTTGCCGGCCGCTGGAGTGGTGGTCGGGCAGGTGAGGAGAAGTTGAGAGAATGGTCAGGGCGCTACTGGTCACCATGTCTTCGCGGGCTGTCTTGCGTTTCCTTGGGAAATATAAACTCTGCTACAAACCCTTGAAGACATGCTTGTATCCACGTAGAGAGCTCAGTGATCTATCAAAGGCTTCATTAGTATCTCTTCTCAAGCAACAAAAAGGAGGCTACGAAAGGAAGCCACGGACAAAAGAGACGCGGTCAGGGCACCCAACCACCAAGACCAAAGTCATGTCACAGCAAAAAAAGTGAAAAAGAGATGCTCGAACCAGGTTTCGAACCTGGGACCTCCAGTGTGTGAGACTGGCGTGATAACCGCTACACTATTCGAGCGTCAGTTGTTGATGTAGTTTTGTTGCTGATGATGGGCTTAAGAGGCTGACTTTACCTCCCGTGTTCTCCAGCAGATACTCCCTTGTATTTTGACTGGTTACAATCGTGAAAGGTTTCAACTTGGGTAAAATGAAACTCTGTTCCAACGGAACCCATAGCTAATGTATCTATTCATCCTAACAGTCATGCCACTCTAGAGGTATCTTCCTTTCTTCTCCTAGCTCACCAGCTCCCTCTTAGAGTTGCTTACCCCACCTCTTGACAGCCGTTTCCCTTCTTCCCTTTCTTTATTCCCATCCTTTATTCCCTTTCCCCTCGTGTCTCCCAGCATAAAATACCTTATTCTTCATCCCTCGGTTGCTCTTGCACAGTGCTTCCCGTTATTTCACCTTTCCCTCCATTCTCTCATTACTGTACCCTTCAACTTGTCGTAGTAGAGGGGGACGACGTGGCTGTGGATGGGCTAGCGGTAGAGGTAGATGAGCTAGAGGATGTAGAGGTAGTGCCGGAGGAGGTGGTAGACCCAGTGGAAGTGGTCGTAGTAGTGGTCGAACCGTCGAGCCAGTGGTGGTGGTACTAGTGGAGGTGATGGAAGTGCTGGAGGAGAACGAGGAGGACATTTTAATGTTTTGCTGGTTTGATTCGATGATAGGAACAATGCTAACCGTGCTATAGCTGGATGTATTTGCGAACTTTGTGAAGTAGATGATGGTTGCTGAGGAAGCGGCGGTCCTTGTGCTCCTTATAGCGTTGAGTTGGAGCGTTGAACACTGATACAGGGAGGAGATGTGTAACAGCGTGTATCTAAGGTTTCGTTGCTCATCTTAGCGGATTAGCGGTTGCCAATCCAGAGAGGGCTTGTGAAATTGCACGAGTTTCTCTTTGTTTCATCTTCACCAGTTAGAGGGTCAATGAGGCTACTGCAAAGTCTAGACTGCGCAAAGCTCAATTCATTCACTCTAGTGTAATCCTTTCTCTAGTGCACTATGCGCATCCTACTGGTACTCATTTGTTCCTGATTTCCTCTAGGTTTGCCACCACTCTTGCCTCACTTCCATTCCTACAGCCCTCTTGCTCTGAACCTCCCGGCGTCAACCATTCTAACTGCTCTTCTTCTCCGGCCCCAACCAGTACTGCGCTTGTCCCTCGATTCTGAGCCGCTCAATGTAGGAGTACCCAGAGCTATCGGTGGTCTTTGAAGTCGTTGACGTGGAGGATGAGGATGAGGATGTAGTGGTGGAAGAGTTGGTCTGGGTTGTGGTGGAAGTGGAGGGTGTATTGTCACCACTCGTGGTGGTGGTCGAGGTGTCGGTGTTGGATGATGACATTTTGGTCTTTTAACGGTGTGAATGGAGGTCAATCTGTGACTGGAGCTGGAGATGGCTGCATTGAATGATGGCCGTTGCATAAGAAGGCACCGGCTCTCGTGCTACTTATAGCAACACTTTTGACTGCTAAAGTTTCTAACAGAGAAGAGATACGGAGTTGTTTGTGCCGTTAATCGATCATTGCAGTCGAGTAGCTCTTGTACACCGAGGATACCTAGAGGTAGCTTGGCATGCTTTGATCTCCAAATCTGCTCATCTCATCCTCATAAGCCAAAAGTCGATCAACGCGATGCTTCGAGTCCAAATGGAGGTCTAGACCCAAGCATACATTCGGTAGCTATACCAAACATGCTTTGCTCACTCCTAAATGGTTGGCCAATGTCTAAATCCTGTCGATTCAGATTGAAACATTGCGGAACATCTGTTCGCTGAATTCGTCAAGGTATAAATACCTCAACCTCCAGTCTCATCCAACACCTTCAGCCAACGAACTTGAGCAAACAAAACACAACGCCAACCAACTAGCCTGTGAAGCTTTAACATATAATCACCTCTGCTGACGCAGGCAAGATGTTTGCCCCCTTTATCTCCACCAAGACCACCGAAACCGGTACTTCCACCTCCACCACCGGTCAAAGGCAAGTTAATCAGCCCTCTTCTTCCTCTACGTCGACTTCAGAGAATAGCAACGGGAACAACCATTTGTACATGTCTAAGGGCAATATTTGGAGTTCGGGCTCCGGGTCCGGGTCTGCATCGGGATCTGTGTCAAGCTCGGGGGAGAAGTGTGACGTCTTGTAAATGTCCCGTGTGATACATGATGTGAAGAGGAAAAGATGGGGGTTTCTCTGAGTATTGAGACATGAGCGAGTAGTGATGGGACACATGTAGCAAGAGGAAGTTACAAGTTGAACAACGAGGCTCAAACACGACGTTATCAACACTTGTTGCTTCCTGTCCCATGCTTCGCGGCTCTCGAATACCCTGCGAATGCATATCGAGAAATGAGATGACCTTGACGCATCACTCCCTATCTTTTGAAGTTGGGCAATCACTCGATTCCCAGTGTGTTGTGGATCGGTATAACTACCAGCCACTATCTCTGGTAGTATCGCACGCCTTTCTTACACTCCAATAACAACATTATCGATAGCCGGAACGCTTTCAAAGAACAGTACGCTCGAACTGCCCGGCAAAATGTCGTCCTCCAACTCAGACACAAGCAGTTACCTCTCTCCACCCAGCAGCACCTCCACGACAACTTCGTATGAGAAGACGCCATCGTCGACTACCACTACCAGCATTACTAGCAGCGAGCCGTCATCGAGCACGTCTAGCAGCTCAAGCACGTCGTACACGACCGTTGAAACGGTGGTTGTTCCGAGCTCGACAAGTTCGGGGGCCAAGAGGAAGTGAGTACAGTACCTTGGTCCAGCCCTAGCTCAGTTGAGAACTGGTGGAGGAGTGTCCGCTAGGTAACTGCCATAATGGATGTCAAAAAGAGGGAAAGAGAGGGTCAGGGTAGGGAATGACGGAGGAGAGAGTTTGTCGTGTGATAGCAAGGAAAGCTGGTAGGAAGAATTGGGATGATGAATTACCATTTTATGAGAGGTTGAAGAGAAATAAAGACACTATACCCTTCAAGTCCGTGACTGTGCGCAACCCCCGTGTAAAAAGTCTCGTTGTCGTGGAAGGCTCGACGTTGTTGTGAGGTCGTCGTCGTCCTCTCCACAGAACTCCACTACACTCGGCAACAACCCGATAGCGCCGCAGCACTCAGTACCCACAGCGCCGTGAACCCCACTGAGTCGTCCATGACACAGGGTCCAGCGCTCCACCCGCAAAAAACACCTGGGCATTCCTGGACAGCATAACCCAACCTCCCAGACATCAAAGGTTCCGCGATCGATCGATCATGAACATGAATGAGGCCGGTCACCGAGCAGAGCGCCGAGTGGCCCTACATCTTTTTAGTGTTCGACCGTCAGTCATTCAAGAGCTTGTATCGGGAGCGGGCCGCGCACCCCTTGCCGATAAATTGAGGTGGCAGGTTCGGCGGCGATCAGTACACTCGGCGAAAGAAATGCGGCGGCGCACAACCGAGAAAAAAGAGCCAAGCCTTTTAGGCAATAGCTTGTTTGAACGTTCGTGGACCAGGCAGGTCGAGTCCGTCCTCCCTCGTCATCGAATCAGGGATGATGGGTGGTTGTACAACGTATTTCCGATCACCACCGAAGCCATTCATTTCGAGGGTGTGGGTCCGTGGTTCATCGAAACTGGGTCGTCGGTGATGGGTGTTGGTTAGCGCCAGGAACGAGTACGCTAGGCGTTCGGCGCATGACTCAGACTGTTCGGAGTCGGAGGACGGAGTCGGAGGACGGAGCGTGGTGCTGTGGAAGCATCAATGTCCGAGCCTTGAAAAGTTCGAAAAGAGTTTGGGCCCTGATGTGATCTGTTTGCAGCTATCACAAAGAAAACATGGGTGGGATAGATAACGGTATCTCGGAGCACTTGTGTGCTGCCGGCCGGCAAATATGTAACTTGCGACATACAGTGAATATCCGTGTTGTGATACAACATTGACATTGTGTGGTTCCTGTCAATTGATTGCTTGATACCTACGCTGACAGACAGACCGCATGTGTGTCAGTGTCAGACTGCTGCTCGTATGCCCGACCTATTGCCGAGTCCAGTAAAACTACTACTACCTAACAAAATGCAAGGGTCAAATATTCCCCGACCCAACCAACATTGGTCTAACATTTTTTACCCTGCCGCCGCGCATGCGACTTACAAACCTGGATGCCAATGGTTTGCTTATTCGGTCGTCCTTTGCAGATGGATTTGTCAGGTTCCATTGATATGCTTAACTCCGGTTTCGAGCCGACTAACATTCCTTTACACTATATCTATGCTACCGACCCAGCTGCATGTCCCCCTTCGTCTGAGCCTTCCTTTGATCTCTTCCCTTTCCCATCTGTCGTCCATCCGTCGCAAACCTTTCTTGACGTGCAGTCCAGGGACCAACCGTCCCGGCACAAAGACAATCCCTCCGGTGTGTGTCAAGTCAAGATACCAACACGCTTGCCCTCGCGTGCATTTTCGCGACCGCAAAAAAAATGGCACCAACCACCTTCCCCGACCGCACCACCCACGGCCCCTCCACCGACGCCGAAGGGAACCTCTCCGACCAATCCACCGCAACCGGCATCTCCTCCCCCTCCCGCGCCTCCTCCGAGAAATCCTCCCCGCACGTAACAGCCGCTCCTCCTCTCACCGACGGCGCCACAAGTTCTGTCGCCCCCGATGCCGAAAAGCAACAACCGCCCCCCACCACCGCAGCATGGAACGCAGGCCCCCCGCCCCCCAACGGCGGCCTCGCCGCCTGGCTCCAAGTCGTCTCCGTCTTCTTCATCTTCTTCAACACCTGGGGCCTGCTCAACACGTTCGGCATTTTCCAGACCTACTACGAATCCTCCGAATCCATCTTCCAGCCGCCTGGCTCCGTCTCTTCCTCCAACATCAGCTGGATCGGCTCCATCCAGTCCTTCATGGTGCTTTTGGGCGGCCTGGTCTCCGGCCCCTTATACGACAGGGGATACCTGAAGTACTTGATCTACGTGGGCGCCTTCGGCGTCGTGTTCGGCCACATGATGCTTTCGCTGGTCTCCGAGTTCTGGCAGGCCTTGCTGGCGCAGGGGTTCGTGGTGGGGCTGGGCGCAGGCATGATGTTCACGCCGGGCGTGACGGTTTTGCAGAGTTATTTCTCTACGAAAATCGGGCTGGCGACGGGTTTAGCGGCGGCAGGCAGTTCGTTTGGGGGTGTCATTTATCCGATTGTGTTTTACCGGCTGATTGATCGGATCGGATACGGGTGGAGCGTGCGCGTGATTGGGTTCATTGCGCTCGCGACGTTGATGGTTCCGGTGGTTTTCCTGAAGCAGAGAACCAAGTCCGGAAAGGTCAGGGCGCTGGTGGACGTGTCGGCTTTTACGGATGGGCCCTACGTGTTATTTACTTTTGGCACGTTTGTAGGCTTTATTGGCTTGTATGTCATGTTGTTTTACCTGAGTTTCTTTGGGTTGGATACGGGCGCGACGGATCCGGCTATGGCGTTTTATATTGTGCCGATCTTGAATGCTGCGAGCATGTTTGGTCGGACGCTGCCGAATTGGTTGTCGGATAAGGTCGGGCCGTTCAACATTTTGATTCCCGGCGCGATGGTCTGTGGCGCCTTGACGCTGGCTATGATCGGTGTCAAGGGTCTTGGAGTAAGTTTTCCCTTTGCTTTTCCGTGGCAGGCAGTCTTTTGGAGAGACTTTGCTAACTGTTGTTTGTGTTCAGGCCATCATCGTCGTCGCTATCCTCTTTGGCTTTTTCTCCGGCGTCTTCATCGCCCTTCCGACCGTTTGCTACATCGCTCTCACCAAGGACAAGTCCCGCCTCGGCAGCAGAATCGGCCTGGGTTATGCCTTCCTCGGTCTCGCTACCCTCATCGGCGGTCCCGGCACCGGCGCGATCCTACAACAGACTGGTCATAATGGGCATAACAACTGGACGGGAATATGGGTGTTCGGCGGTGTCATGCTTCTTGCTGCCAGCGGCGTATTTATGGTCTTGAGGAGTTGGAAGTTTGGATTCAAGTTGACGACAAAGGCATAAACGCGGATGATGGCATGGCATTACGACATGAGACTATGAATGATTGAGTCTGAAGACAAAGGGATATCGGTTGGGGGTGTGTAGGTACGTGTGTATACTACTCGATAATGTAATAAAAGCCTAGACTTCACTCCTCTATCTTCTCGTTCTACTTGAAGCTTCCAGCCAACAGTCTCAAGACGCCGGGGAGTTAATATGCAGAGAAAGAGTACCTCTAGTGTCGAAGACACGTGCTCCAGTTGAATACCTAGATCGTAGTTCTGTTTGCTAGACAAAACTCGGGTACACACACGGTATAAGGTACCTTGATAGAATCTCACAGAATAGTCGTTATAGTCCTGGCGCAACGGGCTGAGTTTGGTGCCCGTTCTTTATCCATCCTACACTCGTTTTTCCTTATGCCTCAAATGATATGCTACGACAAATGTTTGTACAGGGATATGGTCCATACAAACAATGAGATACAGGAATTACACAAACGCTGGACCCCGTCGCCTCAACAAAAGCTAGACCGCAACATGGTATCTCAATGAAAAGAAGATGAAAACAAGACCGTACACCATGCGCTTGCAAGAATGCGATACAACGAAACACTAGTTGCAAAAAAAAAAAAAAAAAAAAAAAAAAAAAAAAAAAAAAAGAGAGAGTGAAAAAAGCCCAATGACAACGCCGTTCAAGACCAAGATTTTCTCACTGCACACTCTTAAACCCTGAAATTCTCGGGGGCGCTGACGGAAAAGAAAGACTTTCCACCTCAGTCACTGGCCCCAAGATGGCGAGGAGAGCCTGTCTTAAGAAGCCACGAGAAACAGAGGCACGCCAAGGGGAGTTATAACTCTGTTCGAAGCATCCTTTAACTCCGTCACCAATTGCCAACCAACCGCTGCTTGCACCATTTCGTCACTCAAACTTTCGTTCAAATCCATCGTTGGACAGACAAGAGGTAGTTCCCGGAGCGCAAGTTCCCGGACCTCGTATACAGGAGACCATCTCTGGTCCTCCTCTTGGAGCTGGAGGCAGATAAACCCCATGTTGACACTTTCTTGGTGTCTATGGGCTTCCCACTGCTGAAAGTCCTCTCTGAGTTGCAAGTCGATAAAGTCCATATCAACAATTTCCTGGTGCCTGTAGTTCTGGCATTGCTGGAACTCCTCCTCAAGCTGAATGGCGATGAGCAAGTGATCCGCCGGCATGAGCGTAAGACGACGGCCAGGCTCCATAAAACATGAAGCTCTTGTTCTTGGCTCCCAGGGGGTACGTGGTAATTTGAGCGGCATTCGAGATCGAGGTCTGCTCCTTTCCTGACTAGAGGTAGTAACATCGTTTACGAGTTGGAGGTGTAGCCCGAGGGGCATGCGAGGGTCCACACCGGCGGTGACTTCTTTCTCTACCAGATCAACGGCGAACACGTCTCGTTGCAGCTCCCTGGCCCTCACCGCCGTGTGGTCCGCGTGGTCGTTTCCGAGGATATCAGAATGTCCCGGCACCCAACGGCGCTCAACCGTCACGTTGTTTCCCGAAACCGAGCGGAGCTCATGGCTCTTCTGGCGGATCAGGCTCCAAATTTTGGCGTGAATTCTCTTTCGAGGAGGGACCCCACCATCGATCATGTCTATGACCGTGTAGGCATCCGATATGATGCTGATGTTGACCGATCGCACCACATTTTCGCTGGCGCTGCTGCTGCAGTTGTCGAGGTACCGGCGGGCCACTTCAAAGGCTTGGGCAATGCCTAATCCTTCTCCGATGGTGGTGTCCTCCATCTCGGGCATGAACCAGCCCATCTCTACGTGTTGACCGTAATGCGTGGTTCCTGGAAAAAAGTTGTCGAAGACAAGGGAGTATCCTCCAGGATCAGGACCAGGAACAGACGGCCGAGAGGCATCCGTGAACATCGCAATCCTTATGTCATCGGGGGTCGAGGTATGGGCAGCAGCGGTGATAGCTGTTGCCTGCGCGCTTGCTATTTCCTTGCTTTTCGTGAGGAAAACGGCGCCGGAAAAAGTCAGGTTACTGGTATGGAAGTCTGGGAGCGGTAAACTTTAGCATCGGGCATTTTGTGTTTTGTGAAGAGACCAAGTTCGCGTAGCGATATAATATGCGCGTCCTGGGGTGTCGACGAACGCTCCTTTTGAGGAGTGATCATGTTACACAAGGTTCAAGTTGCTGGTGATGAACTTGCGCTTTCTGGCGGCATTCACGTCCGAGGTACTAACCCAATAGTCTTGCTCTTCTCGCAGCGTCTTGACCTTTGCCCACAGGCTGCTCTGTAGCTTTCTTTTTCTCGGCATTATGATCCAGGCTGGCGGACAGGACGCGTAGCAACAACTTCAAGTATCGAAATGAAAGTGTTGTCGCACTTGGTGGGTTGGTAGCTTCCTGAGCTGCTAAGACAGGACAATCAGGTAGGTGAATCGCGATGGCAAGTTCGAATGATTGCGGGGCAAATGTAGCGAGTGTGTTCGAAGAAAGTTACGCGTCCAGGCATGTGTGAAAAGGTGGATGGAAAATTTCACTTGTCAAAACATGGGATGAAGTTCATGTCCAGAGGCAGACTTGATGTTGACATCCTGTGCCCACCTTGAATGATTCGAGCATCCGTGCCAATTTGAAGCAAGGTGTCTGGAGGCTGAGTTCAATCCTTCACATACGTGTTGTCTCGTGTATTAGTTCAAGTTCGCCGTCCAGCTTCACGCGTGAGGTTGATCTTCCTCCCAGCTACAATACGATGCCGCATGTTCACGGACAGTGGTCTCCGTACTATTCGCAGCTAACATAGGAACTCCATGGCTGTTCCCAATCCATCAAGGCCAACTTCATGTTGCCGTAGAAGAGGTAAACAGAAGGTACTGCTGTCAACCAATGCGCTTAGAGACGGTACTTCGTTGTTGTGAGCGACGAAGTCTCGAAGGCTGCCCGGGCTCAACGTGCCACGTCTAGATAAGCACCTCGAGGGAGAGTGCTTAATAAGTAACCAACTCAGACCAAACATTCAACACATCCAATGGACCGGTGGTCGAGCGGCGTGGTGCGCAGCTTGCGTATCTACGTGGGGCTACAGTGGGCCTACTGAGCTGGGACAAAGCACCTATAGGAACACTGGACATAGGTTCGTGGGGCACTGTAGTAGTGCTGTAGCTGGCGCCTTCCGGCTGCGCAAAGTAGGGCTCTTCTACTCCCTTCCAGTTTGCAGTCACGTCCCGTGTTCGACTCCCGGTCCCCAACTCTTTTTTTTGCTCCTTTTTGCTTAAGTTATATAAGCGAGTTAACTTCTTGTGGTCGTTGTTTCCCGTTATACTATATATGATCTTAGACAGTCCCCGGGTCGGCCTCTGCGACTCGCCGTATAACACATTACCTGAAAGGAGGTTATCGCACGACAGTAGAACGCATCAAGCCCACCATCTAACAGGCTTGTCAACCCGCGCTCCCAAAGCTAACTCCAAGTCTCTCGGATTTTCAAGACGGATTTCCTAAAGATTTCTATACCAAGTCACGTTTGGGCACCTCCCTCAAGTAACCGGCTCGTTTTCCAGGACATGGGAATTCAAATACAGCACAAAGCACCTGCACCTTGTCATTCTTGCCAACACAAGACTCTTTTCCATTATTCTACTCCCAAACATTTATCCTCCTTAAGTCAGGTCCGATTCCCTTTCAATTCCATTTCAAGAATCAAATCCCTTCTTCTTCTCTTTTCCAAGCATCACAGCACGACACGGAACCTAGCATTCCGTTAGTGTTGTCGATCCTACAAAGCTTTATGTCCCCTGATAATCCAGTCCGCTTTTGCACTATCTGACACTTGTGGAGAGAGAGAGCTAGAATCAAGCCTTTTCGTACCTCCTTTTGTTAGTCCTTCTTCCTTTGTATAATATTTAGTATGTCTTTCAAGTCTTATGCTGTCCCTAGGTACATTCCGGTTGTTATTGTAGCAGGAGAGCTGTTAATATTGACGTTGCCAACTCCCTTCGAAGACATGTCGCTGTCTTATGTAGTAGTATAGCTGCAACGAATCGACATTAGTCAAGCTTGTCACACTAGCTTACCCAACCCGCGGCAGTATAGTTCTCAGCATACTTTTATTCAGATAGTAAAAGATAATTGCTCATCGGCGATCGTCTTTGTTAATACCACGATGTGAAGTTTGGGAGCACGTATTACGTATACAGTGTGTATATCAAGACAGACCTTCCCAATCAGCGAGTCCGGACTCTAGGTCCAAGATAGGTATCGACACGGTACATGGATTGGAATCTCAACTTCGAAAATTCACCGCTACTACCCTGCTTCAACTGTCATAGCCTTCTCGGGGACAGCGCGATGTTGCCCTGCTGGAAGCGAGAAGCTAAGTGGTCTAGGAACTCCTGTCCCGTGGGCTAGTCCCCGGCGGCCGAGTAATGGGGGCTGGTTGTCCAAGATCTTTTTAATACTTAAAGTATTGGGAACTCGGGCTTCACCACACAGGTAGCCCATTGTATGTAGAGAAGAAGTTTGCAAGGTCCTTCTTCGTCCGTGAAGTTGTGGCAGTCGTCGAGCAAGATCGGGAGGGAACGAACGGAACATACATATAGAAAAAAGAGACAGAAAAAGAATATAAAAAGTAGCAAAAAAAAAAGAGTTGAGGACCAGGAATCGAACTCGGGACGTGACTGCAAACTGGAAGGGAGTAGAAGAGCCCTATTTAACACAGCCGGAAGGCGCCAGCTACAGCACTACTACAGGCTACAGATGTTGAACGTATTACATTTTCGATCCACATATGGATAACTTACTCGCTCTCGTTTCATATCTTATATATATATCTTTACTCTCGCTCCTTCCTTTTCTCTCTCTCTCTTCTCTAATATTTAATTAATAAATTTACTACTATATTTACTTACCCTCGTAATATCTTACTTCACTTCAATAAGTTATAAGCCCGGTATTATACATATACCGAAATCTTTACCTACCCTTAATTCAAATTTAATTTATACTTTATTTTTTATTATCTTCTCTTACCCTACAATAATTTTTTATATTTATATTAAATTAGGACTTTATAGTTACTAGAGACCGCCGCGCTCGTAGCGCTAAGACCGACGTACGGACTATCCGAACTGTATATTTACCCTACTTATTCCAAACTACTACTATAATTTTAGTTACCTAAAATTTAGAATACTAGAAATGTACTAAAATTACTACTATTTAGTAAAAATATTAAAATTAATTTATTATAATTAAATTCTTTATTATAACCTTATCTACCTTAGATTAATTTAGAATTTAGAACTATATTTGAAATATAATATTAAAACTTAAGAATTTCAATAACCGTCCTAAAACCTATAACTACTACTACTACCGAATTTATAAATATTATTGATATAATTTGTAATTTTAAATTAGATTACCGATAGTTAAAAGATATTTAAATCGATCCGACTTTCTATACTTAATAGAAGAAATTATATCCGTACTACTAAATATATTTTCTATAAATATTAAAGATCCGTCTTTTTTACTACTATTAAAATCACTTTTATATTACTCTTCCTAATTACCTTTATTATTACTACTATTATTATCGTTTAACCCCTTAAATATTTAGGGCTTCTTAATTATTTAACTAATTATATTGCCTACTTCGCTTTAATCCTTATATTTTAATACCTAGGAATTATCCCGAACTTTCAAATTATAAAATTCTAGTAGCAATTATAAATATTACTTTGAATACCGCCGGTTACAAAAAAATTCTAATCCTAAAAAATATTAAAGAATAAGTAAAATAGGACCGGGCTATTTATAATTACATCTATATTGCTAATTTTAGGGCGGCCCTTACCGGAGACTAATCTCCGCTACAAAATCCTCTCTAGAAGAATAGTAATTATTATAAATTTTATATTAATTAGGGTACTTATTAATCGTAATTTATTAAAATTATTTACGTACTTACTAATAGGGTAATTCGTCTATCCTTTAAAGAATTAAAACCGCTATTGGAATTAATTTATATAGTTTATCAAGTACTTTAACGCCTAACTAAGAGTATCTATATTAATAAATAAACAGAACTATCTTACTAAAAATTAATTTAAAAATAGGAAACTATCTTATTCTCCTAATATAATAGTATTAGTAATTATTATACGGCCTATACCGAAATCTATGATGATATAATTTATTTTAATAAATTACTAAAAATCCCTAAACTATTCTTAATTCTATATTTTCTATATACATTAAGCGATTAGTATTACTAATTTAGGGATAACCTTTTTTAAAATAACCGGCTTTTACCTATTTAAATTAATAGAAAAATTTTTAATATAGGTCTAACCCTATTTAAAGTATTAGCCAAAGTATAAATATCCGAAACTAAATATAAGAACCAAACCGAGGAAAAGGTTCTTTATACTACTAGAATAACTACTATAAAAGGATTTAAGTAAAAATTTATTTAGTCCCTATATAGTATTTATAAAGACCTAAAATATAATAATAACCATTATTTTAAATAATACCCCGAATTATACAAGTAGTCTAAGGGGTTATATTTAGGAAAATATATTATAAAGGATCCGAAAATTAATAACCCTATTAATAAATAATAATATAATTACTTATCGGCCAGAAACACTAATTTAAATACCTCTAATATAGAAACTAATAATTTATTCTTCATTAGCAAATCCAATAAGCCACCAGCTAAGTACTATTAATAGGGATCCTTCTATTTTACTATTCCTCTAAATTAATTTAAACTAATTAGTATTAAATTTTTTTCAGAATAATTAGACGTAATAGTAATATTTAGTATATAATATACTATTATTATACCCCCTACGGGGTCTTCCTTCGGTTTAATTATTACTATTTTATTTATTATAAGAAGCGTAAATAAATTTCTAAACTCCCTAAAAGAACTTCACATCCTTAATACGGGCACTATTAATTACTTTATTTATAAAAGCGATTTTATTTTACTTCAATTATATAATAGCCTATTTATATTAAAGATTAGTAATATTTTGTTTATACTTACCTATAATAGTACATTTAAAGTACGAACGGTTCTAAATAGTAAACTAGGTTATTTACTACTAATTAATATATATTTATACCCTACGGCTACTTATAACCTTATTTCTATATTCCAACTTCAAAAGGCCGATATTTCTTATAATATCGCAATTTGGAACAATCGTCTAACTACCTATTCGGATAATTAATTTTAATTCTTAAGGTCTAAAATTAGGGGCCTATATTTCCTTAATTAAATAACCCGCTCCGCCTCT